TAACCCCAGGTCTGATCCTATAACTATTCACCTTATGGAATATTAAGAAAACTTCAAGTCTTACAAGATCAGACCTGATGTGCTTTGCCTTTGTTATGCTGATAAGTATTTCTATGGTTTGGAGAGATTCTGTTTTCTATGATGTACCAAAAATTGGTCTATTGTCAACACATGGCATGTGTGAAAACCATCTCAAGATACAACAAGACTATTGCAGAGAAAGATACAAGCATGTACTTTGCATTCTTCTCTTTTGGAACTCACTACAATTCATTTAGAGCACACTATGGCTTAAGAAAAGCTCTACAGACACCACCAGCAGTAGGGACTACAAAGTTGCTGTGAAAATTTACATCTAGCATGGAAAAATACCATCTTTCCAGATGTTTCATAGGTTTCCTAATCAATCTTGTAAACAGTATATCACAAGTGTAGGTTTCCTACTAAATAAGTGTGCAAATTTCCTAATTGTAAAAAAAAAGTTTTTATTTACAAGAATGAAGCACTGGCAGTGTTATATGGAAAAAAAAAATCAAATGAACTTGTGTGTAAGAAACATCATGGACAGAGCTATACACTCAGCTTTTGCACTGACTGTCCACTCTAATTTCTGGTGCCTACATTTTTTAAAGCGCTTTACATTTAAAGTTAAATAAATATTATGGTAAAAATGGGGTACATTGCTAGTAAAAGGGAAGCTTTTCAATTTGCCCTCTCCACACTAGGCTTCCAGACTGGAGTTATATTCACCCACTGCGTTGTCCAAGTTCGGACAACATAGCCATTTCATGATGTGTAATATGAACATTGTTTAAAAAAATAAATACGCCTGAATTAATCACATTCGATAGACATCATGGAAGGCAGATGAGTCATATTAAAACCTGTGAAAGCAAGAGTGAACATAATAGCTTGTGCAAATCAGATACTGCAATGGCATTCCAAGGGAGGGAGTCAGAAAAGGAATATGCCAAAACTTCCTTTCCCATTGTGTTTGAACTGATTGCCCACAATAGAAACAAACATTTCCTGAGACATTAAGTTGTCATCAGCCTCTGTGATTCCCAGTTCACTCAGCCTTTTCTTGTGCATCTGGCTTTTCTTTGCAGAGGTAGCACCAAGTTCGTTCGCAATTTCATAATTGCCTTCGGTTTGTCCAGAAATCTCAGTTCTCTCATAAAGCTCCATTTCATTGGATGCACATTCGCACAGCTTTTCAGGTCCCAAGCCTCTGACGTTGTCCATTTCACCATCTGACTGGGTATTTTGTATATTTTCTAAGTCAGAAAACAACAAGAAAGGTTATTACTGACTATGCAGATGCCAGAAAGGAGCTGAACTACTTAGAAAGTCAGATTTTTAATAGTGTGGAATTTAGTTTTCTTCAATCTTCATGGAAATGTGTTTTATATTGCAGTATTACTATTATTTCAAGTATATCAGGTTAGCTGTATCAGCTCTCGTCTGCAAGGACCTAAAACTCCAATGCATAGACAAAAGTACAATAGAAACAAAGAACAGAACAAGTTAAGGCAGCCAGCTTGCAGCTGGGATGCTTTTGCTCAGACAGATGCTCCAAAATTAGTAAATATACAAAAGTAAGATTTTAAGGAAACCGCTTCTGGAAAAAGGAAAGGACAGCAAATGTTATGTTAATGATCTGAAGGAAGCAAAATCCCCAACTTTCTAGGTGACAGGTTTAATGATAAGCCATATATACCGAATACAGCCATGTGAGGCTTGAGAGGAACATTTCTTGAATCTTGAAACTCTTATGTGACCAAGGGACTGCTATGTATTTTACAGAAAACAACTATGTAGGCTTTAAATATTTAATCATTTTTAATGTATGAAATTACTACATTTTATTTTCTTCAGGAAACAATACTCACACGCTTACAAGTCTCAACCTGGCCACGTGGTGGAACAGGAGAGCAGAGGATTAATTTCTGCCAAAAAGGACTCTGTGAGGAGCACAACCAGTTTCTGTTTCCACACCCTATTTTGTCTGTGTGTGACCTGTGTGGTCCCTTCAGTTCAGCAGGACTTGTATGGCAAAGCACATGGGTTGGGTAGATAGGAAAGAATCGACTGGAAAGCAAATAGAAGAGCAACTCTACAATTTTAGGACTGATTCAAAACACACTGATCTGAGCACATTTTGAGCGCAGAATTCAAATGTGACAACCATAAGACCCATCTTAAATCCTCTTTTGTTGCATGGTGTTTTTTCTTTGTCAGGATCTCCTCAAAATCACCATGCTCGAAGTGCCCCAGCTAAGACTGCACAAACATCAAGTGACAGTTTATAAAATGCTTTTATACCCATGGACAAAAGAATGAATTCCAAAGTTATTACACACCTGCATAATCTGCACATATTCCTGAAATGTTTCTCTGCAGTAATCTAGGACATTCCAGTATTCTCATAATTATAATGGAACCTAGACTCATCCAAAGTATTTTCAGCCTTTTTAGAGAGTTTTTTTCTGGTAAACTGAGTAATATGAAGAATATACAGAAACACACTAGATATAATCACCATATCAGACCTCTATTAAAAAAAAAATGAAGGTTGCAAGAAAAAAATACCTTCTAATCTTTCTGCAGGATTGTCTTTCACATCAGAAGGAATTGTTGGTTTTACCAGAACAAATCCATACCCTTCATTGTTATGGATCACATTATTCACCATAGTTATCTTGGGTAAGTCATAATGGTCATCTAAGAAGTCCTACCAGAGAGACAAATGTAAAAACAAGTTATAGCTAGCGAATTCCAGGAATTTGAACTTGTCTTTGTTTATTTTACAAAGAGAGCACATCTAATACAGAAAAACTAAATCTCTGTGTAATTCAGGGACATAGTTAACAACATTTCCTTTCCTAAAGTTGTTGAATAAAGGGGACATTTTACTACAACAGACCAAATTCCAAATCGACTGACTCCACTATCATTCCTTGTCTTTCAAACGGTACTAAACATTTAAAAGCAGTAACTTCACAAGATGCCTAAACAACAATTATTGGTATGAATCTTACAGAGATATTTGAACATGATCTACCTGGAACTCACCTTTATAAGGATTCCTTCCCTGCAGTGGTGTATGCCATTGCCTATCAAGGTACATGTGCTACCTGGATATATCTCAACACCAGCACCCTGTACAGTGAAGTAAAGAGTTAATTCCTGAAAAGTTTCCATTTCAGACTTTTTCCAAGTGTATCCTAGTGCACATCCCCTTTCCAATCCAGCAGTTAGACAACACAGGAATCTGCTACTACCTCCAGCTACAGACTTAGCTAACTAGCTCAAGCAGCAGAGGCCCACAGACACTGCTACTGTCATACTCTAAGAAAGCCTGCTGAAGAGTAATTGAGCAACACATGCGTAAGTTTCTATTTGCTCTTTAGCACCCCAACCCCAATGCCAATTCACTTGCCACATTATAACAAGCGCTAGATTTCTGACCATCTCCTTGTAAGAATCAACAGGCAAGTTGGTCAAAACGAGAATTCAACTGAAGTGAAGCTTAATGAGGAAGAAAAATATGTGAGGACAGAAAAAACGAGGCTCAATTTGAAGACGGCTATATCCACATGGATCAGCTCCAAAAAAGCATCAAAGTTTATTTCATTCATAGATGGACTTTTTTTAGTTTTTCTTTTTCACAGTGTTCCATGCAAGTCAACATTCATTTGTCTCCTTCAACAGGTACATACTTCATGAGATTAAAAGAATGTTGTGACCAATTTCTGAAAACCAAGACAATTAAGCCAAATGTATTAAAGGTTTTTTTTAAAGGATTAAGGAAGTTGCAATCAAGAAAGAGGACATTTCCCTATTCAGCAGCAGAAGGCTTCATTTTATTTTAGGATACAAGCTACAGCTGCATGAAGACTGAAGAATTAATTCATACCTTGGCACCATACAGATCAGAATTTTTCATTAACAGCTCAGCTGATGTTCGCACTGTAACACCTGTAGTCTCACACTGTAATACAGTGTTCTCCAGGGTAGTTTTCCCATGGTGGACACCTGCACTCAAACGTGCATTGTTAACATTAGAAGTCATTTAAAAAAAAAATTAAAAAAAGCATAAAATGAGTAAAAAGAAAGAGAAATTTCTGTCCATCAAGCCCAACTCAACTGCTTGCAGTAAGGTTTCAGTGAATCCCAGAAGGCAGACCCAGTAGCATTCAGCATTTTTTTTAAATCCATTTCTGGGTACCAGACCAAGATAAGTTAACACACAGTCTCTATTACTATTCCAAGGACTCTGGGTGTACTGCAGCTATGTTGCCACACATCAGCACATTAATCCAGGGCCCAAACCAGAGAGGATCGAGGCAGTGTACAAGTGAACCTCCCAAGACCAATATTCAACTGAATATTCTTTTATGGCTATCTGTTTCAATTGGGGAAAGGTGCTTAACTAGAGTGAAGTGTTAGGGTCAGGATACCACTGCTATGCAGATTTTCATTCATGCGTCTAACCTTGCAGCCCCATTTAAGTCTGATCCACCTCACAACTTCTATGTTGCAACACATGGACACCAGCTCCACACCACATAGCAGCAGAAAGGAGGGGGAAGGTGAGCTTTAATGTTAATACAGCACACATGACACTGATATTAGTAGTGCGACTCAGATATTATTGAAATGGGGGACACAAATTTCGTGAAGTTTTACCTAAGCCAGTGAAATCTGGAATGTTTGTATCAAGGTGCTAAACATTTTACCATGACATTCCAAAAATAAATTTCTATTTGGCAAAGTACTAATTAGCACCTTCTCCAAAAGACAGAAGGCCATAGTCAACAGACTTACCAACAAATGCCACCAGGATTAATTTTTCCTTAGAGGATCAAAAAAGCTGTCTGTACCATGAACAGATTTAGAGATCTAAAGGAAATAATGGCATTTAGCTTGGCATAATTTTCTTTACAATTGGAGTTCCTTAAATGAAGAGCTGAGATTGAGACAAATAATATTGCCTTGAGCCTAGGAAAAGCAACCATATCTTCAGGCATGTAAAACACTCAGGTTTTCATTTGCCTACTGGACAAAGACAATGGGGGAGGCATGACATCAAACACAGCAGCATCAACTTGCCCAACAGAGGACAACAAGCCAAAGAAGAACAACAGAACCAGGCTGCCAGCTAGAACAGTACAAATGGACTTCATTGACTGTCATATAAATAATGCTGTAGGAAAGAAAATTAGAGAGCTGTTTTGAGGAGCAACCCTGTGGCTGAGCTTCAGTTTGGAAGTTTGTCCGTCAGAAAACAGAGGGTGCCTGGTAGGCCTGCGCAAATAGGGAAGTATTTGATTCGGATTCAGCCAATTCAGAGGACAGCGATTCGATTCAGATCCGTCCTGAAATCGATTCGTCCGAAATGGCTTCAGAAGATTTGGCACTGATTCAGGGAGATTTTGTGATTTGGCCATAAACCATAATGGGAAAAATCACTGAAATACCTATAACTTGGTCATTTTTTGGCAGATTTGGATGAAGACAGCAGGAACAGTAGCCCCTTCTGAGGGCATGAAGCCTGCCCTGCCACGTTTCAAAGAGATAGGTGCAGGGGTTTCTGAGAAACTGCACCTCATGTTGATGACAAGCAAAACTCTCGACATGTGTGACTGTGTGTGTTAAGGCACAGCAGGATGAAACCAGCAGGGATGGTAGCCTGAAACAGGGGGCCTTCCCAGTACTCAGGCAGAAGCAGCTCACAAAAGGGACAGAAAAGCTGTAGACAGAGGCTTGTGTGCTGTTTCTACATCCCTCCCCCAGAGCACTGTGATTGGAGGGGCACTCAGAGAAAGATCACAGTCACTGGCCAGCTACAGATGTCAGTCTTCCCCCCTCCTCCCC